ATGAGGTCCATAGTGGAGTACTCGATGTCGTCAACGGGCAATAGCTCATGAGGTCCATCAAATCTGCAGGGGAGTTCCTTTTTTTTGTTGACAAATGCCCTGAGGCGTGACGACCACATGTTTGATGGTAATTACTTCATCCCCTTTTAAACATAATTGTTGTCAATTATCTGTGATAGCCTAATTTTGTATGGATTTGTGTACCACTGAGGCTTAAGAAAATTGGCACTTCGGGGATCGACAACATGCAAATGGTATGCAAATCCTGAACTTCCTCATGTTGGTGCTTTCCATGTCATAAGAAAAATGTAACTATTTATTTTCTTCCTATTGTGTTGACATCTTCACGCATCGCGCCCTTGACAGCTGTTTTGAACGAGTCGCTCTAACTACATGGTATGGTCCAGCCGCATGGAAAGTGCTAGCAAAAGGGACCAGAGCATCAGAGTCACAGAACCATCCAAATTCACTACCCCTCATGTTATTTATGCATGACTTCATTTGTTTCTTTTCCCATTTCTAAGGCATTGCATCCTTGATCTACCATTTGAAATTACCTCTTCATTCGATTCAGATTAACAGATATGTTATTGATGCAAAGATAAAAGCGTTGTGGCTCACATTTACTAATCACGATGGTATTTGGTCTGCAATCAGTAACAGATATGATGGCCTCATGGCCTGCCATTGATCCTGTTTGTTCGCATATTGCTGATCCAAGGATTGGACAAACAAAACCATACTAGCAGTCACGTCACGTTGTAGCAGCTGCCATCTTAAGATATGTTCACGTTTTATCCTTAACATAATGCATAATTGGCAACTTTTTTAATATATAAGTTACAACGCCTCATGATCATGTAAGATGAGATGAGAGTTAATTAAGTATATTATGTACACATAGCCTGGCATCGACAGCATGCGCATGTAAGAGGAAGCACCGCCAGTACGCCACAGGCATCAGCGCGTAAGTCATCTGCACGCGCGGCGTATCGTCCAGCTCATTCACAAGTGCAGCGCAGTTCTCAGTGAAGAAACCGGTCCAAGTGTTGTCATTGTCATCTGCTAGCTGATGATGCCTCATCTCGTATGCATGAAGGCATCCACGGTATTCCACACATTGGCAACAAAGGCCTTCTTCGTTCTTCCTTCTGTGATCATAGAATGCCGGCTTGCCTAGCGTGGATGGTCGTCGCTGAAAAGGCTTAGCGCTTAGCGTTTAATCAATTTTTTCTTTTTTGGTTTTGCTTTTTGAGAGCTTAAAAAACAGCAAGAGGCTCGATTTGTAATAAGAATTGGTTGTGTGCAAAACTCTTGCAGAGACCGGAATAAAAATTCCTTTTTCTAAAAATGCCGGCTTGGCGGCCTCCAGCCACGGCAATCGGACGATGACGAGCACTCCAGAAGATCACTCTCTGTGTGCGATCATCAGATCATGGAATATAGCGACATGATACATGAACAAAAGTTTCCCCAGCTCCTCTGTTTTCCTCTGCAAATAACTGAATATTCAGGAGTATTTACCAAGATCCTACAGCAAACTCAGGGTAACACTCATATTCTACATAGCATCGGATCCCTAACTGACTGAGTCTTATTGTGATCTCTTCCTAGTAACATATGCACCATATCAGGACTGGTTATTTCTCCTTTTAAACATGATGACTGACTCAGCAGCAGGATCCTATCTTACCAACAAACCCAAAACATATATAATGACAGACAACAAAAGCATTCCCATCTGATTGTTCAATCCTGTCATCGACGCCTTCGATGAAGGACCAGGAGGCGCTGCCCCATTGCCCGTCTCAGGTCTCTCTGTCGGGCAAGTATAGCTGCAGAGGCTGGGCCTCACAACTCGGTACACGCCTTTGCTGGCCAACACATAGATGTCCTTGTTGTTATCCTCACCAAACGAGTATATGTAGCCAAGCGACGGGAGAGGACTCCCAGCAGCGGTGTCGCAGGGTATCGGAGAGTCCTTGGAGCAGCTGAAGGGGATCAGAGTGGAGGTGTAGTTCCCACTGCTCTCAGGGGTCTCTGTGCCTGTCCACATGGCCGAAGCGTACAGGTCGGCATACAAATACCTGAAATAGAACAGATTAACAGATACATCTCATGAGTTAAGTTTCAAGAATTGGTCTGTACAAAATGAGTTCCGAATGAACACAATGGACGTATCGAGATAGCAGTGTTGATCGATTGATGTTGATGATGATACCTTCCATACAAGCAGGGATCAGTGGACCCTCTATAGACGTAACCTCCCATGATTGATGCCGACCCGATATTCTTATTGACATCAGAATGACTGTATCCCATGATTGGAGGAATGGCGTTTATGGAGCTGAGAGAGGTATTTCCTCCAGGTGCCCATTGTGGATGGTAAACAAGTGGACCCTCGAGCGCACGCCATCCATAGTTTCCGCCTTTGGAGATTAAATCTACTTCTTCGTATGCATCCTACATGGTTAATGTCCAAACACAAATGAAGTTGGTAACATACAAAATATATACATATTCAGTTCCTCAACAGTGTCTAGAAGCAATGAATCCCTGACTCCAATCTCATAAGGCAAACTAATCAAGCAAGTCAACATTAGCAGCTAGCAAATTAAATATGGATTACTGAGGCTCTTGAATGGTACCTGCCCAACATCTCCACAGTAGAAGTAGGAAGGCCTCTCGGAATCAAAGCTGCATCTCCACGGGTTTCTAAGACCCAATGCCCAAATTTCTGGTTCTAACTCGCTATCATCAGTATACGGGTTGTCTTTTGGAATAGAGTAATTGCCCCACAAACTTGTGTTATTAATTTCACTAGCTCCTGAAAAGAAAAGAAAAACAAGAATCAGAACATGTTGGTTGCGTTCATTCAGAAAAAAGATTTTAATAGTCTATCTGACAGAGCTATATGTTTTGGCAGAGGAAACCAGATAATTCATACTCATATAGACTAATTTGAACTGCAGTTGCAGGCAGAAGAAACCAGCTAATTCATACCCATATAGACTCATTTGAATTGCAGTTTGCAGACATCATAAGTAACAAGTGCTTGCAAGATTCAGAGCCGTGGCCTTCCAATTAGTTCACTATGAAAATGATAGCTAATAATGCTGCCAATACGAAGACCACATTCTCATCTAGTCATCTTCTGGCATCTTTGACTAACATGATAACTAATGCTGCCAATGTGCCCAATAATTTGCTAGCTTATTAGTAGCTAATACCGTGGGCCCAAAAGAGAGACATCATTTGTTTCAAGAGAGAGAGAGAGAGAGACATCATTGGAATAGCCTAACTTGAAGGTTCTGGTTAGTGGTTAGGACCAGAGTTTACTGATGTGTCCATTTCGTTTGTTAGTACTGATGCCAAAGCTTTCATGTAAAATAACTTAGATGAAAAGCAAGAGCAAATTTATGGAGATATAAACACGGAAATAAAATGGAGTAGAGGAAAGTAATGAAAGATGGAAATTTAATTGGAGCAAATCAACAAACAAATAACAAAGAATTTCAAAATTAGTAAGTCAGCGAATGACAAAAAGACTCGAAGACTTACTCGGTGTACTGTCAACATCAAGCCTCATAATTTGGCCCAAAAGTGACTTTTTGTTCTGAGCGAAATTAAAAGGGTCTCCCATTCCTCCACCATCGCCCATCATGAGGTAGAGGTACCCATCGGTAGGACCAAAAAAGTACCTGTCCTCCATGTTGAGATGTGTAAGCTAGTCCCATTGTGAAAATCCTTCTAACCTCAGACGGATCAACAGAAGTTGCCTTACATTAATTTGTAGAAATATTTAGACTGGACATTAATTTTACAGCAATCATTGTGACGCTAGCGAACGTTTTTTGTGAAGTGCATCTAGCATTTTTCTGCAGGATTTTTTTTTACAATGATGCAGGACTCTGTTGATTGTGACTAGTTGAGTATCAGGAAAAGCAAAAGTTTCAATCTTCCTGTACATAAGAACAGTGCAGGTGAAGATAACAGTAAGACTCGCAGCAGAATGGAGCAAATTAGCAAATCCATCTGCACCGAAACCCTGCCCGGCTGACCCCCAAAGCATCAAACCCAGGCAAGCAAATCGTCGAGCAGGTGAGGAGCGGTTTTATATATAAAAAAAATAAAAGAGCAAAGTTTGCGAATTTTTTTATTTATTTTTAACACTTTTTTAAACTAATTTTAAATCTAACACTGTTTTATTTTATTTTTCAAAACTAACACTTTTGCCCGCGCCTATTTCCCTGCCGCGGCGAAACGCCTGTGCCGCGCCATGCATGGTGGCGCAGTGAGTGGGATGACGTGGCCACGACTGGGGCGCTGACCGGTGACGTGGCAGGGTCTGCTGCGCCACCGATCTTGACGCGGCGCCGCCGCGCCATCCCTCACGGCGCGGCAGTCCCAGGTAAATATCACCCGCGAGCCGCCCTCCCTCTATCTGCCTTAACGCGGTGGACGACTTCTGCGTCGCGCCCTCCCGCCACTCCCAAGTGCTGTCGGCCCCGGCCCTCCGTTGCCGCCTCCCTCCCTCCCTTCCCTTCCATTCCCTAGCCGCCTCCCTCCCTCCTTGGCCTCATTCAAGATAATGACACACTTTTTATTTTCGTTTGAACGGTGGATTGAAATATTATGAATGTGAGTTAAGGTTAGGAGAAAAATTATGTTTGAGAACTATGGGCTATGATTTGGAGGAAGATATTAGTTTGATTTTATCAATGTTAAGGTTAATTATTTAGTTAGAAATATCTTTACCATGTATATTTTTGTTGCTATAAGTGTTGATTATATTATTTGAGTTGCAATGCAAATGATTATATTTTACATTAATTTGCGTTGTTTTTATTGATGTTTAATTTGAACTGTTTTATTAGATGGAAGACATGTTTCGAGAACAGTTGTGGCGAAAACGAGGTTGTCCTAGAAAATTAAAAGAGCAAAGTTTGCAGAGGCCAAGTGATGGCACATGGCACATGGTAGTGGTGGATGATGCTTACAGCGCAGAGGATTGACTTAACGACGGCGGCACAGGCAGCGTCGGCGATAGCCATGGCGTCGAACTGCTTGCTGAGCGCGGCATCGGCGGTGGCGTCGCAGCAGCTGCTGTTCCCGCTGCCGCTGGGGGAGGCGCAAAACTTGAGCGTGGCGTTGAGCAGCACCGGCGCCCCTGGAGGGAGAAGGAGCAGCAGCAACTAGTTGAGCATGCAGCACGCCAGCGCTGGTCGCCGGTCGGCAAAGTGAAGGGAAGGGAACTGACTGACTTGCGTCGGTGCATAGCGGAAAGGCGAAAGAGGCAGGGAGGAGGAGGAAGCTGAGGCTGAAGCTCAGGCTCAGCAGTAGCCGCCGCCGCAGCATCTTCATCTGTGGAGCCTGCTCTGCTGGATCGCCGACGAAAATGGAGCTAGGCTGAAATCTTGTCGATCTAGGCCTGGTTTAGATTCTAACTTTTTTCACTCTCTCTCCATCACATCAAATTTTAAGTATTAAATATAGATAAAAAAATAACTAATTATACAGTTTAATTGTAAATTATGAGATAAATCTTTTAAGCCTAGTTAGATTATAATTGAATAATAATTATCAAATACAAACGAAAGTGCTACAGTGTCAAATACCGCCATCTAAACAATGCCCTACTAGTTAGTACGCAGTGCAGTGAGGCAGAGTGAAGATGACAGGCTCCAGCGTACAACAAGAAAAGGTATGCATTGGGCGGAGAGGAGAGAGTGGGATTGGATAGACACGAGACGAGACCACAGAGAGGAGAGGGAGTCCGAGTCGTACTGCTACTGCCTCTGCCTGCCAGCGTAGCAGTAGAAGAAGGTCGATGGAGACGGAGAGAGTCAACTTGGTGGTGTATGGGTGGGTTGGGTCATGTTTAGTTCTCCCTATTTCTAGAATTTAACACTACGTAAAATTTTTTTTTCTTGTCACATTAAATTTGCGGTACATGCATGGAGTACTAAATGTTGACGAAATAAAAAACTAATTACACAATTTGGTTGTACTCTGCGAGACGAACGTTTTGAGCCTAACTAGTTAACGATGGGACAATTATTACCAAATAAAAACAAAATAGTACTGTAGCTACAGTACACCTCTTTTTTTGGGCGGCGGATGAACTAAACGCGGCCTTGGTGGCAACGCAGAACAGCCGCAACTGCCAGTGCCAGTCTGCCAGAGGTAGGAGATGGTTGGGAAGTAGTTTAGCGCTACTAAAATACTAGTAAAATCTCCCGTATCTTCTTCTTCACGTGCACGTGTAACAGTGTAAGCAGTTTTTTCTTTCTTTCTTTCTTTACCTTTTTCAAATTGCGGAGACATACGTAGAAGAAGCTAACTCGCTCCTACAAGAACCTTATTCTTCTTTTGCTCACCTTGACAATACTGAGCCGATAGATTTTGAGATAGATCGTCTCGTTATGAAAAAAAATTATCCATGACTTAAAAAAATAGCACCATTGAATAAATAAATCTAGAAAATGGAGCCGAGGCTCTTTTGCTTGTTGAAAGAGAAAGCTGCTTTATACCTCAGGCATATTGCCACTGTTGATACCAGCACGCACATTACTGTCTTAAACCATGGCCACTCGTACAGGCGCCGTGCGCCGTCCAAATGAGACAAATTTTCTCAAAAATAAAATATTATGACAGTGAAGGCACGCCGTGCCATCGGAAGCGGTAAAAATCCACTGTGTCCTGCTCGCACCACATGAATCCAAGCCTCGGTGGCACTTCCGGAGTTCGACACCTGATTCGGCTGATCTTGCGAAAAACCCCTCTCAAAACTTTGCGATCAACCCGTGGTCCTCGCACGGCCACCTGCATCCGTCCTGGCTCGACCAGGTGAGCGACCTAGACGTTCATGACGAGTGGTCCCTCCTGCAACCGGCCCCGTTGGCAGTAGTGGGAGTAAGATTTGGGGTTCAGGCTGGCGGCGCGGTCTTCTTTTCTTTTTCCAGCGGCTCAGCTAGCAGCGCGTTCCCCTCTCCTGCTATCCTGCGTCATCGCCGTCTTCGCTCCGCCCTCCCCGCGCCGGCCACCCTGCCCTTTGCGACGGCCGCTCGGGGAGAGCAGGTGGGCCGCCTCGACGTCGATGATGGGTGCCCCCCGTGCTTGGGTCCCGTCAGCAGGGAGTGTGGAAGGGACCTAGCGTGCGGCCTCCTGCATCCTCGACGTCCTCGCTCGCCCCTCCTGGCGCCGCCCGACTTCGCCTTTTTCGCGGAAACTCCGGAGAAGTAGGTGGGGAGGCCTCGACGTCGATGACCGGTGGCCCCCCTCCTACGCTTGGGTCCTGTTGGCAGGGGGGATTTTTTTTTAATTTTAACTCTTTTTGATAACTAATTTTAAATCTAACATTGCCGGGTTTTTTTAAACTAACACTTTTGGTCACGCCTATTGCCCTAGCGCGGCCAAATGTCTGTGCCGCGCCATGCATGGTGGCGCGGCAGAGGGCTGATGTGGCGACGACCGGGTTCGGGGACCGCTGATGTGGCAGGGCCTGCCGCGCCACCGACCTTGGCGCGGCAGTACCACGCCCTGATCCGTGGCGCGGCTGGGCCAAATAAATGTCGCGGCCAGTCTCGCCTGCCCAAGCAGCCATGCCACCTGGCCGCCGCGCCCGTCGCCCGCCCAGGGGTACCTGGACGGTTTAATCGAATTTTGTTGAATTATTTTCACGGCCTAATAAAGAATTTGATAAGCCAATGATTTGTTTTTCGTCTTTCATAATACGGTTATGCACCATTTTAACTAATCGATTACGAAAAATTGCCACCGGCGTCGAGATACGCCGGGACTGCCGGTTCCCGAACTAGTTGGTACTTAATCTCGCCGGCAGTGCTGCCGTGACGCAAAGAAACGAATAAGAAGCAAGTTGACAAGCTGCCACATAACATATTCATTGTTTTGACATAAGTTTGACATAACATAACCAAATAACCCCGCAAGTTTCGGATGCCAATATTCGTTTGACCTAACAAACTAAGACCCAGGAGTGTAAGGATCCCTCGGACGTCTCTGTCTCTTCGGATTTGTTGGCAACACATTGGGAGTGTAGCCAACGTCGGTATGGTCACGTCGACGGTGCGTACGGCTCGTACCCTGCAAGTATATGATACGCACGATTACTTATAATTCTTTATGATCGTTAGTTCATGGAGCCTACGTATTGAAATAAACTATCTTTGTTAGTACCTATGAGGCTCCTTGGGTGCCAAGCGGGGCACCACCTAGCTGAGACATGCCGATCTCGTCCTACGACCAATCGTCCCACTAGTCGTGCTGTCCGTGGAAGCCCGGGGGTCGTCGTCGTCGTCCTCGGCTGCAGGGTCCTTCCTAGAGCTATGATGTAGTGGTGTACGCACCGTGGAAGTGGCACCTGTCATCGGTTGAGAAGAGTCGGCTGGTGTCCTCAAAGAGGCTGAAGACGTGCCACCCGACCACGCCGGGAGTGGCGGTTTCTCATAAGGAGTGTCCATGCAGCTCAGCTTCTGAGCTAGCTTCCTGCAACTCTTCTTCACCTTATGCATAAATAGACATTAAAGTTAGTGCATTACCCAAACGCATATACACTAAAGAAACATTTCCGGAACGGACAAGTTTATGTTTACCTCCACAAAAACCGTGAGAACGCCTGGCCCCTGCCCTCTAGACTCGTGTAGCCAGAACGCTGCTTCGTTGGACAGCCTTGACAATTGTGTCGCCTGGGTACAGAAACGCGGTTGGACAGTTTTAGTACACATACTTAATACTAAAATGTTAACAAATTATACCATTCAAGTATATTATCACGTATCTTTGAAGCGGGGCTCCATGTAGCTGTGTGTCCTCCCTAGTGGTAACGTCGTACACATCTTCGATGATATCTTCCTCCGAGTCCTCGTTAATCGCCACGTCAGTGTACGGGGGCTTGATATGTGTCCTCGTAGACCTGTGAAGCCACCGCAGGTACTCGTCGAAGGTGCGCAGGTCGTGTGGAGGACCCGCAAGGACCGCATGTGGTACCCTGTTCTGCCACAAATTGATGTGCGAGCTGTGTGCCACGCGCCAATCCTTGGTCTTGTACCTCTTTCTGCGGTCATACCTGCAACAAAACGATGTTAGTTGTACCAAACAAACCTCTGAATTATAGCATTGTTATTAATCGATAACGCACCCGTACAATTCTTGGTTGGTGGAGTAAAGCGGTGGTGGGCAGCCTGTCATTCTTCCAAACTGTCTGCAGACCCAGATGGGCAAGTGAATCTCGACCACATGAAAGAAAATAAGAGGGATGTCGCAGCGATACTCGTGTGGCTCGTCCCTAGTGACAGGACTGAGATAGGCCTGGAGCTCCGGAGAATCCCAAGGACACCAAAACACCTGAAATTTCGTAATTGTGTTAGGTTGTGATATAGTATACATCGAAGAAGACACTAGTATGATAGTATAGAGAGTGTAACCTGGTGCTGTGTCAGGACGTCGAGACTGTCCGTGTACTCCCTGTACTCGCGCCACGCATTCCCTCTAACTAACTGTGCTTCCGTCCAGATATACAGAGTTGTAGGGAGTATATCATGCCCGTTCCATCGCTACATTGAACATGATAATAAATTAGCCACTAATAATCTTATCATATCTAACTGTCTCAAAGAATATAATGAACCGAAGTACTTATCGGTAAACCATTATTAAGGGGCCTCCCAACGGGCAATCGTTCCCAACACCAAACCTGGAGTAGGTAGGAGCAACCCCCAAGGTTCGCATATCCTGAGGTGCGACGGTAGGCAACGCATAGCTGTCGATATGTCCATGTTAGGACTACGCTGCCCCAGCTGTACGCCACTATGTTCTCCCACGGCTGACGAAGTATGTCTAGGAAGATCCAGCTGATGGTGTTGCCCAAGACGTCTGGGAAGAGGAAAGCACCAAGAAAGTGCCAGAGCCACACTCGAGCGAACCTGTCGATCAGAGCCTCCTCAGCTTGTGGGTCCAAGTAATCAAAGCGCTCTGTGATCCAGGACGACGAAACACCGGAACTTTTCCTAAAATTGACCAAAGAAAATGAGACCCCATGGCTGCAGGAAAGCAATGCAAGTATTAAATAGGCTTGAATTACTCGCTTATTTTTCTTGAAAGCATCGTCGTTCGGTGGAAGAAAGCCAGTAAACTAAGCCATCAACTCCCACCAGTGATCGTTGTCAACTATCCCTGTCACTGGAAGTCCCCCCAATCGAAGGCCTAAAATAGCCTTCACGTCCTGCAACGTCAAGGTTATCTCGCCACAAGATAGGTGGAACGTATGGTTCTCAGGCCTCCACCTGTTATAAGAATAGAACTACTGTTAGTTGCCTCAAATTTGTTACAAGAAAGTTTACGTA